TTTTCGTCGCGCTGTGATGACGTCAAAGGCGCGATTTTGTCGATCGCGCTTTTGCCGTCCGCGCTTTTGACGGGTCACGCATGAGGCATTTGGGTTGGGTTGCTTGGCCTCTGGCTTCTTTTGCAGCCACAATTGGCTGCAAAAGTGACCGGCATTTGCTGGAGGCAGAGGCCTGAGCAGCACCTGCAAATCAGCTGTTTTGTGAATGGAGTGGCTCAGCTGATCCAATTAAGGGGCCAAGAAGCCCTCAGGTGACCGGGAAAGGGAAGAGCTGCCCCCTTTTCCTGGCAATCATTCTTTCTTGGGATCTCAGCGCAGATGCACATCCCCCAAATGCTCTATCCGAAGCCTTCTCTGCATCTGTGCAGAGCTCCCAAGGAAAGGATGGTGTGTGGGTGTATGAGAAAGAGATCCCTAACCCCCTCCCTCTCAAGGCAGCCATATCCCTCCACTAATCTGCTTTCCTGCTCCATTCTCCACTGCCACGTGCAGGGCAAGAAAAGTTTTTTTGTGAGAAGTTGGAAGGTATTTTCTGGTATGTTTTTTTGCCGTAGGCACACAGTCTATTTTTCTTGTCCTGCATGTGGAGTGGAAAATGGAGCTGGAAAGCAAGTTAGTGAAGGGATGTGGCTGCCTTGGAGTGTGTGTGTGTATGTGTGTGTTTTCTGCTAGGGAGAGCCCCCTGCGAGACCAGAGCAGCACAGCCATCTGTTTGACAGCCAGCAAGTAGGGCAGGCAAAGGCCAGGATGCAAGGAGAACTTGGGTCATTGTGGCCGCAGGCAAGCAGGTGGTGGAATGGAGAGGGTGGGGCTGGTGGGCGTGCTACCTCCTGCACCTGAAAAATAATAAGACCACCCTTATTTGGAGGGTCAAAAGAAAATAAGACCCTGTCTTATTTTCAGGGAAACACAGTACTCCACAACCCTCTAACAGAAATGGACTAGTAACAAGTTTCACAAATAAACTCAAATATTATATTTCTATCTGTCTCTTTTGTTTCTGCACTATTGCTTTTAGTTGCTCAATAAGTCCCATATTATGAGGTCCCTAAAATGGCTTTTAGCTGAGGTCTGCAAGTTGTCTAATTCTTGTTACTTTTATCAACTTCCTAATTACCCATAATTGCTACAAGCTTTATATATGCAGATTTCCTGTTGATAAGTATTCTTTGTTCTTGCGAGACAGACCCCCACAATTACAGTCTTCCTGATTTACTTTCAAGTGTGTGCCATGACCTTGCTTTAGCAGCCAGCCCATCATACACATGACAATACAAACATGCATATACCCACATATATGACACAAACAACACAGTCCATTTGGGATTTATACATGTACATGGCAAGAGCCTAAGAAGATGCTGCACTAAGCTACATGCAAGGAAAAATGATGGCATCAAAGTCAAGGAAGCGGGGTGGGGGAGAAGTCAGATTACACTTAAGAGACAAAGACTTGCAAAAATAGTCAATGCACAGAGGTGATGGTGCCAGAATCTAGGCACACAGGCCCTGGGAACATCAGAGCCTGAGAAAATGCAGCTGGTAAGCTGGCTGCAATGGGAGCACCAAAGTCAATCAAGGGAATAAAACCATGAGAGATATGGTATAATTAACAGACAGAGTGACAAGATCAGAGTGTCGGTGCCCGGGGCTGGCACTGCCAGAATCCAGGCATGCAAACGTTGGGAACATCAGAGCCTGAGAAGATGGGGTAGGTAAGAGGGTGACAAGAAAAAGCAATGGATGCACCAAAGTCAAGGAAGGGAAGCAAAGAAACACTACTATTGATGGACTGAGTGGCAAGATCAGCAATTCAATGCCCAGTGGTGGCACTGCCAGAACATTAAGACCTAAGAAGATACTGCAGAAAGCTGGAAACAAGGAAAAGCAACGGTGGTACCAAAAGTAAGGAAGGGAACAAAACCATCAGACAGGCAAGAGTGGCAAGATTAGAGAGTCCATGCCCAGTGGTGTCACTGACAGAATTCAGGGATGTCAGCTCTGGGAACATCTGAGTCTGAGAAGATGCAGCAGGTAAGAAGGCGGTAAGGAAAAGCAATGGTGGCACCAAAGTCAAAAAAGGGAAACAAGAAAGACTATATGAAAATATTTGCTTAATTGGGGATTATAATGCAATAGTGGATAAAAAAAATGGACNGCCTTGCCAGAGGAAAGACACCCCTTCAGGTAAAAGCTATCTATACATCACCTGAAGTTTCCTCAATTGTGTTGTTAGGTCCTAATATTTCTGCCTCCTTTCCCTCACTCTTCTTGGCATCTGTTTTAGTACTGTCACCATCTCCCCCGCGTATTTGGTATTCTGGTCACGTGCTTTCTGGTAAATTTCTTCTCTCAGAGATCGTTTGCTAAACCTCATGTGCACTTCATGTGGCAGTTTCTATCTCCTAGTATAAGAGGTATAGACACTATAGACGTCATCAATATCACTCTGTATCGACAGCTGATCTTTCTGAGCGATCCCTGCAATCATCTCAACCATAATTTCCTTCAATTCCTCTCCTCTTTCCTCTGGAATATTTTGAAATCTAAGAAAGAAGCCTGACCTTTCTAATTCCAACACAACAATCTCATCTTCCAATCTTCTATTGATATGACACTGATTCCCAGAAATTCAATTTTAACTTACCCAATAAATTCCAGAAGAAGTGACATGTCAAGTTCTGGAGGAATACGGAATACAGATCCTACAGCCTTGCGGGGTCTCCCCCTCCCCAAGGGCATTGGCTGGGGTGCAGCTAAAATATAAAAGATTAGGCTAAGAACAGAGAATAAAATAAATACATTCATGCTTCTTTCCCTGTAATACTTGCGGATTGCTCTTCTTTCAACCCCCCCTTTTTTCCCCAATCCATGGTGTCCTTTCTCTGAGCAACACATTGTCTCTATCTCACTGGTGATGGGATTTAACAATCTTTGCAGCACTGCCCCAGAAAACAATTACTTGGAGAAGCAATGCATTTTTTTCTGGATATATTCAAGTGGAAGGTGGATAACTTTCAATCAGAAATTCTTTGATTTGGATTCTTATGCTGAACAGGGGATTGGACTCCATGGCCTAAATGTCCCCTTCCAACAAGAGGAAGGGGATTTGTCAGTTCCCTCTTGTTTCTCTCATATCATACAGTATTCTCTCTCTTAGAAGTATTATCAATTGTGAAACCTCTTTCTGAGTAATCATTTTGCTTCTTTCCTTTATGTCCATAGTTTTATGTTCTTTCTTTCCTTTATGTGTTCCATTGTAACAATATACAAGACTTTCATACACATAACAGTTTGTACTAATTAGGTCTCAGACCATAGAAGCTAAGAAGGGCCAAAAGTAAGAAAAAAAAGGGAATCCAAAAAGAGCAGTAATGAAGCGATAGTGATAGAGAAATGCCTCTACAAATCTGTTCATTTGTGCCCTAAAGGCAAATGTAATCAAAGATCTTAAAACAATATGACACAAGAACTATTGTCTTCCAACTTAGAAATTGTCCAGTTTGGCTAGGTTTTTGGTGTCAGAGTATCTCTTATATAAAATCTCATTAAAACAAAAGGTACATCTCCTCCAAAATCTCTGGCAAACATTTAGACGATTACAGGCAATGAAAAGTAACAAGTACTAATATATCATTCTGAAACTTGTGGTTTTCTATATACAGATATTCTCCCATTGCTATTTTTGATACCTTTATGTAAACATTGCTGTTTCTAACATTCATATTTATCTCAATGATTCAGGAAGACTAAGAAATGGTGTTGAATTTCTGAGAGACCCGGAGGCAGGCAGGCAATGAATACAATTATATAAAACTTATGTAATGATCACATCAAACACAACAAGAACTGACTGAAGACAATAATCAACAATCTTAGTGCAGTTTGACACATGAACAAAACTTACTAAACTACCATCTTTAAAAGGTTTGGGACAAAAACAACTTACATTAAATATGAGTAACTTTGGTTGTATTTTAATAAAAAACATTAATCATGTTGTTTAAGGTTAACTATTTTTATGTTAGAATATTATTTTTCCAGCTATTTTTTTTTGAAAACTTAACTAGCACAAAAATACAGTTTTTTTCAGTCACTTTTGTTTAACAAAAGCAACTATAATGTCAGAGAAGAAATACATATTGGTCTTAGTCTGTAGAAAAGGTTAAATACATATTTAACCTTAAATACATATCTCTTGGCATAAGGCATAATAAACGGTGTTTAATTTAAATTTTAATAAATTCCCTTTATTTTCAGCAATAGTATCTCACAGTTAAAAAACTTACCAAGCTTGGGTATTTCTAAGCCTCTTTCTCTGTAAAAATCATGCATTCTCTTTTTTTCTCCTAAATGTATAAATACAAAAGGGCTGATTATCCTCAACCTCAATAATATGGATCTAGTTGATAAGGAGTAAGTGGACAAAAACAGACAAAACAGATAAAGAAAATCATCTAAATTCTTCATTTTTGTCATTTTATTAAATAAACAAAATAAATGATAAAATGCTGCACAGATCTGGAGCAAAAAGACTGGGAAAATGAAAATGAAAAAATAAAAACTTGGGAATGTATTGTCATATGCACATTTATGATGTTTTTTTTTTAAAAAAGATAAGCATTTGAAATACATATTTCTAGATTAATGCATGTACAGGTGAAAGTACTCTATACAGAAAAAAGATTAGGAAATTGGAAACCTGCTGGTATAGGTAATAAATGGCTATCATATTTTAATAGTTTGTCTTTCACAAAGTTTTTTTATAGGTCTTTGTTGTTAATTTTTCAGAACAATTTCTGACATGGTTCCTCCAATGAGAGGAGTGTTCTAATTTTCCAATATTTTGTAATAAAAACCTGAGATAATATAAGGAACTGCATTATTTTTATGTTACAATAACTTACAGTATACCCATTAGAAAATATGGCCAATAATATATTGCAAAAGACCGTGAGGTATTTTCTTTGTTTATTCAAAAATACTTGATTAAAATATGATTAGTATCAATCTGCTAAAATTTCACTGATACAATCTAGAAATGCTACAATTAACAGAATGTTATTTCAGTGCAGAATAGTTTTTTTACGAGTTGTCTTGATGATTATTTATGATTTGCTACAATATAATAATTCTATATTACAGAGAGATTCAGAGAGATTCAGAAAGATTCAATTTCAAATCTACATCTTGCTGCTAGAGTTTAAGATTCTGAAGCAATCTGTCAATCTTTTGTTTCATTGCTTTAATGCCACAGCTGTTACAAATTTAACTGACAGAAATAGTACATTTTATTATTTAAATAAGAGGATTATAGTATCAAAATAATATAAAGCATTTTTGATAGTTTTAAAAAAATTGTGAATATCCCATGTTAAATAAAGACTTCATCAATAATTCCATTAATATGCCTATTCCACTAGTCCTTGTTTAGCAACTACAATTGAGACCAACAACTTGGTTGCTAAGCAAAACAGTCTTACTTCTCCTTTACTTTATAGACTTGCAAAGGTAATAATATGAGGACTGGTCACAAGTTACTTTTTCATCACTATTGTAACTGTGAACAATTGCTAAACAAGATAGTCACTGAATGAAGATTTTTAAGAAGAAGATGAACAGGTGTGGAAAGGGCAGGGAAGATGAATATTCTAAAGAAAGTCAACCATTCCTTCTATCATTTTTCCAAGATTTCACACTTTTTTTCATAAATCTTATAAGCTAAGAATTTTTAACTGTAATATTCCAAATTATATCATGGAGCATGTAGTTCTTCAGTGAGCTATCGGAAGAAAACAAGCATGTTAAATTCAAAAATCTAAAAAAGAGGACTGACTGATATGGTATATACGAGCAAAGTAAGTTACATTCAGTTAGGCGTATCTTTCAGTTTTACCAAGATTAAGAGATAAAAACTTACTTTCTTCCAAGTTGACAACTAATTTATATACTATGTCTTGTAATTGTCGATCTAGTCTATAAAAAGAAAAAAACTAATTTTTAAATGTATCTATTTTTTATTAGTGACATATTGAAAGATAGGCACTGACATAAAATTATTAAACTATAACAGATATAAGATTGGCTGAAAAATAGCTATTAAAACTGCAAAATTTTTATGTCAAAATTACAAAAGCAACTTTATTAGCATTTTTAAAATAGCACATTAACATTTCAAGTACAAGACAGTGAAGTATGGTCTGTGAATTAGTTTTATTGTTTTAATAAAAAAAAGTTAATGGTTTTGAACACATTGGTAAAGTTTTGGAAGACTTAAACATATTTTCCCTATTTGAAATAATTCTTAGCTCCAATAGTTAATGTCAAGACCGGAATTAACATAAGAATATAAACTGTTCATTTATACACAAAATAAATATAGAGTATACCATAATAGGTAAATTACCTGATATTATAAAGCGGCTGTGTCTGATGTACTACAATGTTGCATTTTGGACATCTGTTACTGTAGTAAAAATGTCTTACTATGCAGCTTTTACAAACTGTAAAAAAAGTAATTACATGACTGTTACAAAATGATCCATTATTATTGAAAGCAGTGACATCCAGAATCTGCAGATACAAGAGTATTCAAAGTTATAATGGACTTCAAAAAAGCTACTTACAACCCATCCTCAAGGTTATGACTGCCTCTTCCTACAGTCAGTCAGTCAGTCAGTCAGTCAGTCAGTCAATCAATCAATCAATCAATCAGAATAGAGTTGGACGAACCTTGGAAGTCTTCTAGTTTAGTCCCATGCTCAAGCAGGAGACTATAGCATTTCAGACAAGTGATTGTCCAGTCTCTTCTTAAAAAATGAAGTGATTTTACTTAATGTGATTGCATTTTTTGATGCTTGGCAAACTGCTCACATTTATAATGGGTAGCAGTGTTCTCTGCTCACACGACCACAATTTGCAATTTTGTGTTTTGCAGAAGGTTAAGCAAAAAATGCCCACTAGATTTGCAGGATTTGCTTAACAACCACATTGTTCACTTAATGACATGATTAGCTTGATGACTGCAGTGACCAGCTTTATGACCATCATAAAATAGTCATAAAATCAAGTCAACAATTTACGACCGAAATTCTGGACTTCATTGTGGTTGTAAGTCCTGGCTAGGATGTAAAGTAACAGCAAAATGAAAATGAAAATGTAACAATTCTACTTAGATTTGTACATCCAGTTTTTATACATTCCCATTAATCCAGTCTTATTAATCAAATGGACTGACTTCATGACTGTGTCCTCCACCTAGCCCTTTTTTGTGAATACACAGGACTTTACTGATTAAAGACGAAACCAGATGGAGGGAGGAGCCACGTCGCGACGACACATCGCACAGACCCAACAGTCCGGGTCTGTCGATGAAACTTTTGTCTTTGGATGGTCCGGTAGGACCTAAACCATCCCGAAGAGATGGCGACAGGGAAGCCAAAGCCTTGCTGGTCATAGGGACATCGCAAAGTCCCTGTTTGACCCAAGGATAGCGCTTCCATCTGAAGACAAACAGACAGCTCCTAGGCTGGCATAGTCTGAAGGAAGAGACGAAGCGAAAGCGTTCCATCTGGTGAGGTTTTATTTTTTCTTTTTTTAATTTCAGAAGATCTGTACTAAGAAACTTTTAAAAAATAATTACATCCAGTCCCCAAAGTAAGAATAAAGCGGCGATTTTGACACTTATTGGACTGTTTATTAGAAGATTTCCTGCTCTTGTTAGTAACGATGTTTTGTGGATTGAAGTAATTGCAACATTTCCTGTTTCCCTGCTTGTAGTCTATGGACTGATTTCTTTCTTTCTACTTTTTTCCTTTTTACTACCCTAATTTTTTTATTGGCTAAATTAAACTTACTTTCTTACTTCAACAATTTTTTTTTCTTATATTGGTTAAAACCACTGATTATTGAATCTGCCACCTGGAAGCCAAAGTCTGAACTTTGTTTCTGTTTTGGTTACAATGTATCTTTTGTTCTGCTTCACTTGGTTTCACTGACCTTACAATGGAAGGGTTTGGAAAAACTTGAAAGCACGAAACCTGTTTTTGTTAGTGCTTCTGGTAAATATTTTGGCAAAAGAAGGAAAAAGATAAGCAAGAATAAAAACCCTCCTATTTTAAAAAACCCTGAAAGACCTGGTGTTCAAGATTCAAAATAAATACAGACACATTTCTTAAAATTTTGACAGGCTAGAGTGGCAGATTCCTCTTCCTATTTTTTCTCCTTTATATTTCTTTGCATTTTGAAAAATGGACCAATATTCAGAAGCAGAAAATTTAATAATCCAAAATATCCTGGCTGGACTTCAAAATATTGCAGAAGGACTTAAGAGATTTGACAAGAAATGGGACTGTCTATGGGGTGCTATAGTTAAAGAGGAGGGGGTTGGAGCCCCAGAGATTAAAGAAGAGAATGGAAATATAGAAAATAAAGACAAGATATCAGATGAATCTATTAATGGACTAAATAGGAGCAAAAGTGAAAAGGGAAGGGAAGCTGGAAAAGTGTTTTTGACAACTTGGAACCTTTCTTTCAACTTCAAGATGCAGCAGGGGAAAAAAAAGTGGAAAAAATGGAACTAAGAAGACAAATATATCCAGAAACAAGTTTGATAACCAAAGCTAAGCCTACGTTAATAACAATTAAAGAGCGACGAAATTACATGAGAGATCCTTTAAGCTACAGAGTGCGGCGAGAAATGATAAATTCTGAAAAGATTTTAATAAGAGAGATGACACAGCTGCTGGCGAGAGAGAAAGATTCATTTTGCTACTGGAAGGACACTGGTTGATAATGCCAAATTGATGATAAAAATTAGTTAACTTTTGATGGTTAATAAGTAGTGATGTTAGTATTTTGTAGACTCTTATAGATTATTATTGAATGTTTTAGTCGCTAACATGTAATAAATCATGATATTAACAATGAAAGGATAACCTTAATTAGGATACATAACCAGGCCACAAATTGCATCTGAGTCCTGGTGGAATGATAAAACCCATAAATTTGTGCTTTAGACCTTCTTATGAAGCTATAATTTGGATTAGAATAAGAGGTGATGTGATGTAAATAGCAAACAACTGTTTTCTTTTTTTTCTTTCCTTCTCTGTCTTTTTCTAATTATAATAAGGAAAGGGAATGTTAATGCACATCTTGGAGATTTTCAACTCGAATTCTTAATTTGGAGTAGAATTGGCAAACAACTGTTTCTTTTTCTCCCTGTCTTTCAACTATAAAAACAAATGGGAAGGTTGGCATATACTTTGGTGGTTATTAATTAGAAATGTCAATATTTCTTTTTTTTCTCTTTAGATTGTCTTAGATTTTAAATGGTCATTTTGTTAACACATACTAATAGATTGTTTAGAGATTGTTGCTTTTTGCGTTTGTGGAGAGAAGAGGAGAGAAAAATGTAAATAACCCTTAGTTAACTATAATAATAACAAAGATCTGTTAGAGAGAGGAAATATAAGATGTCCTACTAATTGACTTTCTTTTTTCCTTATTTTTTATTTTTTTTTAGAACATGTTATAAGGATATAGAGATATGGCATATTGACTGGAACTGGGGGAAGGGAAAAAAATGCTAACAGGTGGCTGTGTTTTTGAAATCTTAACTAAATGAAAACTGTGATATGGTGATAGTAAAATATATAAATTTTTAACAAGTACAATTTAGACCGAATGGAATATATGTGACTATGGACAGGACGCACGAAATGTACTTGTGACCAATGGATACGCTTCCTACAAGACGTAATGACAGATAATGCTTTTTTCTTTGTGTGTGTGTGTTTTTGCTTGTAATAAAACTAATAAAAATTTTATTAAAAAAAAAAGACGAAAACCAGATAAAGTAGATTTACTTGGGAGTGAACTACTGAATGATGAATATTGAATTTATACCTGTAATTCAGGTTACACAGTTGAATTCACACTATTTCAGTTTTTTAAAAAAATTCAGACAGCAGGCTTTTTGCAGTAGGAAAACTCTGAGATAAAGCAGTTGGGTCTTCTGCTTGATAAACAAAGCAATACTTTTACCTACAGTGCTTCAGGCTCTAGCATCAACCTAGCATGAATTATTTTCAGGAGTTGGTACCAGAAAATTGTCCCCAGATTTGGCCATGATAAAGGTTAAAAAATGAATTTTTCATAGTAAATGTACTTATTCAGAATAGCAGATTTCCTTGTAGGAGACTGAATGTCACACTAGGCTCTGAAATATATTCAGGGGAACATCAGGATCAAAGGGAAAAAGAACAATCTAGGAACAATTTTCATAATACATGGTTTGTTGAAATTTTCCAGGATTTTTCTTAAAGACATACCACATATTATAAGGCTGTAACATAAGGTAGATGCACAGTATAATTCCAGAAAACATGAGGCTGTTTTAAGAACTTAAAGAAAAGTATCAAGTTCAAGCTCATGTTCTGAAGCACCCTTTTCCTTCAAGTCTAGAGTTTCAGACCTAAAGTTTTATTACAACTTTCATATTATTAAAGTATATACAACTCTTTTTTTCAACATATGTAAATTCTTCCCCAGAAATATTTGTTTTACAGTTTTATAGCTTTTAACAAGTAAGCTGCCCAGAGTTGCAATGGCCGGCAAACAAATTTAATCACAATTCCAATACTTACATGTGTGAAGACATTCTGTGATGGTTGTGGCATCTATGAAATACCCCTTGCAGATGGAACACATGATATATGGTACCAGTTCAGAAAGATTAATCATGCGCTGAAATTTCAAAAAAGGATGTAAAGAGTATTGTTTAAAAGTTTGCTTATAACATTACATTTTTTATATTTAAAATAAGTACTTGAGAACATATTTTTTCAGTAAACTATTTTCAAACAATAATGGCCATATTATGGAGTTGAAAGCATGTTTTATCTCTGCAAGTCTTCCAAGGTTCTTAGAGTGAAGTGTGTGTCTCCAAAGCAAATCTCTAAGGCCACATTAAAAAGAGGATTCCTGGAAAACAAGCATGTATCTTCTCACATAACGTTTGATATTGACCTCTTTCACTGCTTCAGCAACTAGGCATTACCTATGAAGGAAAGAAGAGACTAATGTATAAGTAAATGTTCCAAGCCAATCTCTTGTTCCCAGAATGTGATGACAGATACTGTCTGTGGTGTGAAAAGCAGCAGTACCTTGGCACAAGACATATTAATATATCCATCCTGTACTCATCCACAACAGGATAAGGACAGGAAACTACACAACAGAACTTTAAAAAGTTTGTCTCCCAAATTGTTACCTTCTCTTTCTGAACAAAACCAGTTTTACAAACTAGACAATATTTTGTTATCACTTTTGGATTTGCCTGGATCGTTTCTTTGTAAGAGCATATAAAAGAAAATAGCAGGATCAACAGAACTGTTTTAACCCGGGGGCAAGGAATGTCACATTGTGACAAAATATAAAGAAAGAAAAAAAGAAATGCATTTGCACAGAAAGCAATGCGAGTACTTGTATCCCAAGAAAATCAAAATGGTTCAACAGTAATCTTATCAGCAAAGTTGGCCGAGGGTAAGTTGCCTAAGGATCTCCGCAGCTGTGCTTTACCGTGCTCCCCCCTCCTCGCGTCCCCTAACCCCTTAAGCTGCCGAGGAAAGAGTGGGCGGCCCGTGTTACCTCGTCCTCCTCGTCGCAATCCGTTTCGCCCTCTTCCGTGCCAAATCCTCCGAAGAGAGCTGCGGCTCCCCCTCCTGCAGTCCCTTCCTCCATCACCTCTTCCTCATCCTCCATCTCTTCGTTACCTCCACAGCTGGATTCAGAGCGGCTCCCCTGTTCGTAACGAGCACCCGCCCCGGAGCAACCAGGCGTCTCCAGCGTGGCGGCTGCCGCCGCTACTTTATCCTCCACTTCCTCGGCCGGTCCCGCTGCCTCTTCAGCCACGGACCCTTCGCTTAGCAGAGTCAACGCCATATCTCCCACCAAAAACCAGCAGCCGCTCGGCTTCCGTCCGCACAAGTAAACACAGTTTGTTTCCAGCAGTTGCGGAGTATCGCTGTGCCCACCTGGTCGCCTCCTCCTCCCCTCCCCCGCCCCTCTCGCTAATTTGCGCGAGGGGTTTGTCTCGCCCCACCAACCAGAATTTGTTTTAAAAAAAATTTAGCGCGTGCGCACGGCTAATTTGGCGCGCACATCTCCAGTACACCTGCGTAATTTACATATTCGCGCTGTGTTCTGGGAAACTGAGTTAAATTTTGTTCCTCTTTTGCGGACGAGAAATTGAGGGTTTTTAATCCGCGAGATGCGAGGGTTCCTAGAAACCCGGAATTAATTTTAATTTTCAATATTAAAATAAGAGTTAAAATATAAATACAACTTCGTTGTAAATACAACTTGATACAACTTCGTACAGACGAAGTTGTATCAAAACGTGAGAAAGGGACAAAAATTAATGCAATAAAGTATCTGATCATTTACAATTCATACCTGTGCTATTCTACTGCATTGTAATGCTAATTAAATATAAACTATTAAAATAACGCTGACTTTTTGCTCCTTCTATTGATCCATCTTTAGATTATAGTTCCAATCGAGCTTGACTTTATGCACAAAAATTATTTGCCATTGCAATAAATGTTCTCCAAATCCTAAGTTACATCTGGGGCATCAAAATATATAGTAGGTAGGATTTAGTTCTAGTAGGTTACTAAAACTAAGGAATTTTTCAGTAGTATAAAGCGGGGGTGGGGGGGGTAGAAGCTGAGCCCTGCTCTGCCCTACTGTACCCTACCTATAATGTAGATGTAATTTGTTTAAATGTAAATGTAAATTTAAACAAAAATGAAAATTACTTTAAAAGTATATTTAAAGTAACATATTTAATAGTTTTTTCTTCATTTAATGGATTTCCCTTTTAAAAGTATGTTTAATAACTTTGAATAAGTTGGTGAAAGCTTTTGAGTCTTTTGGACTCGTATTTAAGGTTATCAGGGATTGTTGCTTATCTGCTATACCCAAAATTGCATAAATTATAGGTTTATATCTGACTGAAAAGTAAAGCATTGTTTTTATTATTATCGTTAGGCATTAATAATAAAAGTTATGTGCTCAATGAATGAAGAAGGGAATAAATAAGACACTTCAGAATCCAGGTCATTGTTATATTTTATGCAATGTAATATAAGTTACTATACATTTTAACTGCTTTTTCTACTTAGCTGTACTATTAAATATTACTATTTTCATATTATGGGAAAATGAGCTCTCTCGAGGTTCGACATACTAAACAATACACCCAAGTATACACTACTTTCTAGTGTGTAAAGATGCAATGATAATGAACCGGAGTTGTAAGAAAGTTTTTATTTCAAAACAACTTTAAGAGAGAAACTGCACATTTCAGAAGGCGAGTACTCTAACCACACACGCTCAAGCTTCTGCTGGAACTTTTATCAAGGTCTTGCTCAGTGAAACATCTTTCCTTTGATTTCCATAAAGTGGAACTGTCGTAAAGCAAGGGGAAGCCTCTTCCTGGAGCCTATCAAGTTGTCGCTGGGCGGGTGTGACCGGACTGTCGCAAAAAGACGGAAAAGCAAAAGGGGGAGGTGAAGCCGTTGGGCGACCCAACATGGCTGCTTTGCCGGAGGAGCCGACGGAGGCAGTAGCGGTAAAGCCGGATCCTGATGCAGGAGCGCCGCCGCCCGCTCCGCCCGCTCCTCTCTCCCAGTCCCCGATCTCGACGGCAGCAGCAGTTGCAACAACTGTCCCTCCTGCGTCGGCGTCCTCGGTCCCTGCCACCCTTCTCGCGGATGGGGAGCCGCTTGCGGGAGGAGTTGACGCGAAGAGCTCGGTGACTTCCAGCCCCACGCCGCCAGCCTCTCAACTACCCGCCGACAAGCAGACTCTGCTGGCGGTGCTGCAATTCTTGCGCCGCAGCAATCTGCGCGAATCGGAGGAGATCCTCCGGAGGGAAGCCCGTGGTCTTGTCGACGACGTCCCGAGCGACCCGAATTCCTCAGCTCCTGGGGTCCCCGGAGCTCATGGAGGGGAAGGACAGGATCCCAGCGCCGGGATCTTGACCCCTGGAGCGGCGGACGTGCTAATCAATTCTATCACTTTTGGCCAGACTGGACCTACGATCTCTCCAGCTGCTATCACGACACCTCCCGCAGCGCCCTTGGGCCATCCTGGGAAAGGTGAGATGTAAAACATTAATTGCAAGTGTTCATTGAGCCAGCTAATTACATTTGCCCGGTTCTCCTGACAAATTAATGTACAACATATATAGTTCATTTCGGAGAACATCAAGCACTGTCCTTCTAAATTTACGGTGGTTATAGTAATATAATCTATAAGTAAACACTGAAGTGTTATGCGGGTTATTGATATTTTTATTTGGAAGCGTTAGAACCTATGGTTCATTTGTTTATTCTTTTTAGTGAGTGTTGTTCTTCCCTTTCCACTGTAAATTTTATAGTTTTAAATATGCAGTTTAAAAGCATGGTGGAGTAACATAACAACTTCTCAGATGCTTCCAAATGAAAATATTAACACACATTGCACTCGACTGTGGTTTTAAATTGCATATTTAAAACTAAAAAAAAAACCTTATTACTGACTGGGAGATTTTTTGTTATATTTTTATAGTTTAATATTCGGATATACCATGTATGTACCATATATACATTTGTTCCATATTCTGTTCCATATTTTCTGAATTTGGAACAGAATATATATTTGTCTTCTAAAGAGATTTTTCCAATGAGATATGTATCAGTGTTCCATATTAAGGGTATGCAAAGTCATCACTTGGATTGGAGACTTTAATCAAAACAATAACAAAAGTATCCTTTCCTATTTATGTGCAGTATCATGACATACATAAAAATGGAGTAGAGTTGACACTTTAATAATTGCCCTCCCCCATCATACCCCTTTGTATATAATCCAGAAAGAAAAAGGAGTGGGAATTGGATCGCATAGTTGTGATCATTATCTTTACTTTTTGATCTCCTTGTACATTGCTCACACTTATTTCTAGAAGCTAAATATCAGAAATACAAACATTGGGTCAGAAATTGTGTCCTGATCCAATTTTGTAACTTCATGTGATAAATTTAATCCTTTAAAAATCTGAGCTATGAGACCAAAATTTGCTTCTCATCCAGAGTAAAGAACAAACATACAAGAATGCAACATGCTTAAAATAGCTTAATCCAGTTTAAAATACCTCTCCGTGTGTGAGAATTTCATTATTCTTCCATTGTTGTACATACAATAATTTTGCTGCAGTTGCGATATATAAAATCAGTCTGCCATAAGTCTTTTCTAACTCATTGTCCATAAATTCCAAATAAAGAGATTTCTGGTTTCTCCATAAATATTAATCTTTAAAATCTTATGAATTTGTATCCAAAATTTCTTAACTTCCTTAACTTTTTTCTTTCATTTTCCTTTTTTGTATTTAAAAAAAAATTCTTTTCTTTTTTTCCTTTTGATATATTTTCTGTTGCAAGAAAACATCTTAATGTGAATTTTAAAAAGTGGCAGTGGTCTTAGAGGGAGAATGGGAGAATTAGCTACATTCTAAGATGCTGCCAAATTGCCTCTCCCATGCATTAGGGAAAATTACATTTTCAAAAAAATATTTTATAGAGAAGACAAATTACATATTTTTGAAACATTCTGTTGGATTGGAAAGAAGGAGAAAGCTCTTGCTGAAATTGATGTTTAACAATATTGCACTAATTTTCTTTCTTTCTCATGCTACAAATAGTTATTAGTCTGTCCTCAGAATTTCCCTTCATTCTCTATATTTGATTTTACTGTACTTAATTTGTAATTTTGGGGAGGGGGAAATTGTAAACAATGTGTAAATATTTCTTAACTTTGAAAGGGTGGAATTAATGGGAAATTGCTAATGCAGCTGTTCTTAATAAACATTTAGTTGATAAATTTGGGTCCAAACATTCTTGCTAGCCATCGGTTGAATGTTGCTAGTTAAAATCAAATCTCATAGTCAATATGTGCTGGATTTGAAATAAAATGGGAGATTTTGCTACAAGGAATTAAAAGGATTTAGGATTGAAATAATCAATTGCAAAAGAATGCCAACATTAATTTTCCTATATTAATTTTGTAGCCGGAGTTCTTGTAGAAGATCAGCCAGATGTGAGTGCAGTGCTATCTGCTTATAATCAACAGGGAGACCCAGCACTTTATGAAGAATACTACAGTGGATTGAAACACTTCATTGAATGTGCTCTGGATTGTCATCGAGCTGAATTATCACAACTTTTTTATCCTCTGTTTGTACACATGTACTTGGAACTAGTCTACAATGGACATGAAAATGAAGCAAAATCATTCTTTCAAAAGTAATAATTTTGTTCATTTAATACCCATGGATGTTTCACTAATAGGCACATAACTCCATAATTGTAGTTACAGTAAAAAATGACATATTTATTTTGAAGCATGGTAAACTGGGAATAGAAAGAATCTATAGCATTTACTTTGGGATGCATTTAGAGTAGAAAAAAATTCATTTGAAATATTTTGAAAATATAGAAAGCTTACTAGTCATCCTTCTTGGCAGAGAAAGGTTAACAGACATTCTTTTGAAAGTGGTTGATCGTGGTTAGTAAATGGATAGGATTTCTTCAGGGAATTTTGATGCATAATAAAGATTCCCAGTTTCTTGGTTACTTACTATCTATACATTATTTCTTTTCATAGAGTTTTGATTTCTTGCATCAGTGAATATATAAAATATGCTTTGCTTTGTTTGTGGATATGTATATGTCAAAAAAAATTATTCTGAGGTGCTTAGAATCTAGTTAAGGTATATTTTGTCCATGTAAATTTTTTACTGCTGAAATGTTCTGGCTTGAAACATTGAATAATGTTATTCCTTCTCGGTAAAAGGATGATTTATCATGAAATGCTAAAACTATTGTTTTCTGTTTGAATATACATCCTTATTTATCAGATTTTGAGGTCATCCAATTCCTCAGCAACTCTGAACAAGAAATAAATAATTATATAAATATATAAATCATAACTGGCCAGAAAAACAAAAAACAAACATTGAAGCAACCATAACTAAGAGGCCTTCACAATCAATCTGTCACCAAGGAACAACGAGGTCTTTAGCAATTTCCTAGACATCTTAAGAGTAAGAGCTGCACAAATCTCTGGGGCAATAATATTTCAGAAACAACAAAATAGGGCCTCTTCCTGGTCCTGTCATTTGGCAATGTTTATTGACAGGACACAGAGAATACAAATCTTCTTAATTGTTCCAAGTAGGGAGGAGATTGATGGTCCCTCAGCCAAACCCTATGCCATGAAAAGCTTTAAAGGTGATAAACAGGATCCTTGAATAGTCCCCAGAAAGCAACTGGTAACCAGTCTAGAACATGTATCGCATAGGGACTTAAGTATAGTGTCAGTTGTTACCCATGTTGGTTACATGTACTGCTGCTAAGAGTTGCTCCTAATGGAGGACTATTGATTATTTTCCATCCAATTCTCCATACATCTCAATTATATTTCTGTGCCATAGTTTTTAATGTAACTATTTATGATAACAATTTTACAACATCTTCAAGATCTCCTGACTACTTCAATCAATGAGATGATTAAGTCCCCACTTATCTCTAATATATCCTTAATTTTCTCCCAGGTTTCACGGGGATCAAGAATGTTATTACCAAGATGACTTGCGTGTACTATCAAGTTTAACCAAAAAAGAGCATATGAGGGGCAATGAGACTATGCTGGATTTTCGAACAAGCAAGTTTGTGTTGCGTATTTCCCGTGACTCTTACCAACTTCTGAAGAGACATCTTCAGGAAAAACAGAACAATCAGATCTGGAACATTGTTCAAGAACATCTTTACATTGATATTTTTGATGGAATGCCTCGTAGTAAACAACAAATTGATGCTATGGTGGGAAGTTTAGCTGGAGAAGCAAAACGAGAAGCAAATAAAGCAAAGGTATGGTATGAGATATATCATCATGGACAGTATTGCACATGGATAAAAAACCATGAAAATTACATTTATGACTACAGTTGGTCATATTACGCTGCAATTAACAAAAATGTACTATTTTGCTCAAATTGAAAAATAATTATTGAGAACAAACAAATTTCAAAATAATAGTTTTAAGTTAATCAAGTTTTGGTCCATAAGAAACAAGCTTGTTTAAATTTGGTTCATATAAACAAGGAAGTAAGATTTTTTTATTTCATCTCTTAAGGATAAGCTTTAAGGTCAGCTGAATCACCTTGTGTCAGTCACACTGACCTTGAGTCAGTGAGCCCAACTCACATCACTGAATTGTTATTGTGGGGAAAATAGGAGGAGAATTTGTATTGGATATGTTTGTTGTCTTGAGTTGTTCGTAACAATAATAAAGACAAGATAAAAATAAATTAGGGGAGTTATAGATTAACAAAAATATTGAATCAATTGATAGCAGAGGCTTTTTGAACTTAAGGAAAGTGCCTTACCTGCACTGAAATAAGACCAGAAGTTTCAGAAAATGGCACTATGTGTAAAAATGCTTTACTTCATCCTCTTAATCTAACAATTATCTAGATAAACCTTCCCAACACAATTCTGATATGTCAGCATATCTGAGATTAGAGAGAGAATTATGGTTAGATCAGTGTAATTTCTTTTCAGCGTTCAGCAAGGGGTTTGAGGTTCTTATCACTTGTTGAGATACGTCAGGAAAGAGGTGCTATTTAAAGAAATAGAACAATACTTTTTGAACTTTGGATTGTGATTTGTGCTTAGAGATAGTTTACAACATTGACATACTCAATCTCTCTTTTCCAAAACACGGGAGAAATGCTAAGGAAATGTTTCTGAAATTTGTACTTTCTCCTTTTGACTTACAGGTATTTTTTGGCTTATTAAAAGAACCAGAAATTGAGTTACCTTTGGATGACGAAGATGAAGAGGGAGAGAATGAAGAGGGCAAGCCAAAGAAAAAGAAGCCAAAAAAAGATAGTATGGGATCAAAAAGTAAAAAGCAGGACCCAAATGCTCCTCCTCAGAATAGGTAGAACCTCTCTTAACTTCCATTTAAATTGCTCAGGTGCAGTTCTTACTTAAATGTAACATTCCAAACTGTAATAAGCAACACTTTCTTGCTTAAATGTCCCTCCATTTTCACCCCCACAGCCAGCCTTCTGTGTAAAGAGAGATTCAAGTGGAGATGGAATAGAGAAAAACTATAAATTATGTGAATAGGGTGCAAATAAATATTTACTAGTCTTCAAGTGGAGATTAATAATTTGCTTGAGAATAAGCATCTGCTCAATGAGGTTGAAAATGTTCTGTGTTCTGAAACTGTTCTTCTTTATGCAGAATCCCTCTTCCTGAGCTAAAGGATTCTGATAAACTGGATAAAATAATGAATATGAAGGAAGCTACTAAACGTGTTCGGCTTGGTCCCGATTGTTTGCCTTCCATTTGCTTCTACACATTTCTTAATGCATACCAGGTTAGTGTACTGGATTGACAGTGGATCAGATTACAATACGGCCTTGTGTGAAGGCTTGGATTGGTGATTGCAGAGGGAAGAATCAAAAGACTTATAAACTATTGCTGAAGGAAAACAAAATTATTATTTTTTCAGTCACCCAAATAAAGAATATTAAATTTCAAAAGGTGCAAACTTTATTTGTGAACTAGTCCAACCCTTCAGGGTGGCTTCAAAACCTAAAGTGAAGATAGAGGTTATTGTTATAGTCTTCGCTCCATTATTTCTGGGGGGCAGTTAACAGAGTGAGAAAGTAGCACAAGCCCCTCCACTTCCATTATATAATATGGGCCAAAAGCACATGCCTTTTGTGGATTTTAATTCAGGTGGGCCCCATTTTTATTTTAGCCTGGAAAGCCCCTCTTTGCAGTCTTTTTGAAAACATATAAATAGGGCTTCAGCAATAGATGTGTATCTGGAAGCACTGCATCTTTGCTTTGCCCCCAGTAATAAATAACCACACACTGCACAGTCAAACTTTCTGTTCTCACTAAGTTTTGAAGCCACTTAAAAAAAAAGCTGATAATTTTTATCTTATTCATTTCTTAACTTTTTTATTTAAATCTTGTCATCATTTTTATAAATAAGGGCAAACATGCTTATTATTCCTTTCTCCTCCTATTTTCCTCACAATAACTATCAGGTGGGATGGGCTGAGAGAATGACTGATTGATTGTTACCAGTTGATGGTTTATTGTTTACTTTCAGTCTAGTGTTATGCTTTAATTTTTTATTTAAAATAAAACTTTAATTGTGGTTTATGCCAATAGGGTCTTACAGCTGTGGATGTTACAGATGACTCTAGCATGATTGTTGGTGGCTTTGCTGATTCCACTGTCAGGGTATGGTCTGTGACACCCAAAAAGCTTCGCAGTGTAAAATCAGCTACAGGTAATAAAAATTAACTCTCATTTCAATTTTCATAATAGCTGTTCTGCTCTCATGGAGTTGTTCTGTTAGAATAACAATATTAAGCTGAAGAGGCAAATACTAAAATAATGGCCAAAATAGCTTCTTTGCAATTTAAGCATTCACATGTCTTTAAATTGCTTAACAATATTTTAATGTTGTTTAAGACCCTTGGATTAATACCTTTGAAAATTGTATTTTTGCATAAATATATACATCAGAAAAACTAAAAAGTACCGTATTTAGTGAACTAAGTATTATCTTTTTGGAACTTCATAACATGCACTCTGTGTAGAGATGCAGTCTTATACAGTTACTCCATCTCTTGCAACTGTTTGTTCAGAGACGGTTCAAAATTACAATGACAATGAACAAAAGGAATTATGACTTCTGTCCATAGTTACAGCTGCTGTAATGCCCCTGTGATCATGTGAACAAAGTTAAAGCACTTGGCAAGCTATCTGTGATTAAGACCGACTGAAAGGAGTCTGCAACACCACCACACCTTCCAGCCTACTTCCCCACCCCACTGGGTCCCTACCGGCCTTGGGCCTGCTTCACATCCCACTGGATCTCACACACTCCTCAACCCCATTACCATTTGATCACTTATTTTTTTTCAGTACTGTTGATCTCCTTCTGGAAGCAACAGCTTGTTGTGTGGTCCTCCTACGCAGTGGAAGCTGCATGGCTCCATCCTGCATGGAAATGGGTGTCATTTCATTGCGGCCACTCCCAAAATGGAGACCATGTTGGGGAAGGGCCACTGTACCCCCCAGCCTTCCTATGTAGTAGAGGATGTGTCTCATTATCCTGGAAGCAGTTGCCATGTGGAGAATGAATTGTGGCCACTCCAAAATAGTTTCTGGGACAGAACTATACGACCTCTACTGTGTAAGAAGGTGGAGTGACTTCTTCCAGAAGGAGATCTACAATACTGAAAAAATAAATGACTACATGGTGACTGGTGGGAAGAGGATATGGGACCAAGTGGGGTGGGAAACAGGCTCAAAGCCTGTAAGGGCTCAGTGGGGAGGAGGCCCAATATCTATGAGTATCCAGTGGAGTAGGGAAGCAGGCGCAAGGCATGCAGGGACTTCGAGTGGTGGAAAGTGGAGCATGGGGGTGACTCGGGGGTGGAGGAGACCTGGGGTAGGCCATGTGTAAACTGTGGAAGTGCTGCAGTACGGACCTGGTCCTCCTTCACTCAAGGCATTCAATGCTCCATTTAAGGACTTTTGTAGTTGCTTAACTCCATTGTGGAGAATAGGGATGGGGGGTCATTAAGCATGGGCTTCTTGCTTATTACCGCCATGAATTACAACTGTAATGGGTAGGCTCAATTACAGTCATGTTGAGGACTACCTGTATTATTGTGTACAGATGTACCAAAAGAGCCAGTTGGTATAGTGCTCAAGACACCAGGTTAGAAATCAAGAGGTCATAAGTTTTAGTCTGCCTTAGGCATGAAACTTGCTGGATGACTTTGGACCAGTTACTCTTTCCAGCAATGGGAAGGAGGCAATGACAAACCAGTTCTGAAAAATGCTTCAGGAACCTGTCAGTCAACACAAGGACCAAGGAAGGAGAAAAAATGGAAAACTGGTTGGTACCGGAAGATTTGAAATACCTCCGGTGTTTCCATTCCAATTTTCCTTCAGAACTATGATATTCTGTGGGTGGTTTTCTGGTTTCTGGAAGCAAGAGCAGTAATTTGGACTAGACATAGTTTGGAATATATTTATGTATTTATTTTATTTTAAAAGACACATAGCTACTCATAATTGTAACAACAATCCCGGGCAGCATACAACCAGTAAAAAGAACAAAAGTCCATCTTGGGGATGATACAGACCTGAAATAGGCTTTAATCTGGAGCATCATTCCATGAGCCAGATTTTGAAATCCATGCTCTATTTGTCATGGTCTTTGGGAGTAATTGAATGTTCCCAAATTATCAGGAAGAGTCAATCGCTGAATCATTGAGATTTGCACCTCATTAATAATTTATTTTTGCCAAAAGGAAAGAAAATAAATAAATTCAGGAAGAATATAGAGATAGGAAATTCAGATGGTTGGGGGGATATAATAAAAGAAAATACTGAAAGTGCAGCTCTATTAGCCTATCAAAATAGGTCACCCATGTTATTCTATATATAAAAGAGCCGAGGTGGTGCAGTGGTTAAATGCAGCACTGCAGGATACTTCAGCTGACTGTAGTTCTGCAATTCAGCGGTTCAAATCTCACCGGCTCAGGGTTGACTCAGCCTTCCATCCTTCCGAGGTGGGTAAAATGAGGACCCGGATTGTTGGGGGCGATACGCTGACTCTGTAAACCGCTTAGAGAGGGCTGAAAGCCCTATGAAGCGGTATATAAGTCTGACTGCTATATGCATCACCAGTTTAACCGAGGCCCTTAGATTAAAACAATAAATATTTCACACCTTGAATTGCTGTATTTGTAGTACGATTTAATCCATTGTCTTTTAATGCAAATTAAGTAGATTTACTAAAACAAGTACTATTACCGGTAGTTGATTATACTGAATATGAAATTTAGGGTTTTTTTTTCCTTTCAGATCTCAGTGTCATAGATAAAGAATCTGATGATGTTTTAGAAAGAATCATGGATGAAAAAACAGCAAGTGAATTAAAGATTTTATATGGTCATAGTGGACCTGTCTACGGTGCTAGCTTTAGTCCTGATAGGTAAGATAATAGCTCCTTCCCTGAGAGTGTGTGAATTTTTGATTTACAGGTATTGTTTGAATAGATGTATATTGTGATAAACTTTTAGGAATTTTTTTGTTCTTGCTTGTTTTGTCAGGAATTATTTGCTATCATGTTCAGAGGATGGCACGATCAGATTGTGGAGTCTTCTAACTTTTTCTTGTTTGGTGGGATACAAAGGACATAATTATCCTGTATGGGACACACAATTCTCTCCATATGGATATTATTTTATATCTGGTGGCCACGATAGAGTGTCTCGGTAAGAATTATCATTGGTTTCTCATATAGATAACAATCTCAGAACTGTTTATTTTTAGCTAGGAAAACTTCTTACGTTAGTTGCTACTGTAACTTAGAATATGTCCTATATTACAAAATGACCATTGATTAAAAATAGTTAGGTTTATATTTATATAGATGCACAAGAGACAATATTTTATTTTTAATACAATCTATTTTTTCTCTTATTAAACATACTCTCAACTGGATTAAAGTTTGTGGGCTACAGATCACTATCAGCCTTTGCGGATCTTTGCTGGTCATCTGGCAGATGTCACATGTACACGTTTTCACCCAAACTCCAACTACATTGCCACAGGCTCAGCAGACAGAACTGTGAGACTTTGGGATGTACTGAATGGAAACTGTGTAAGAATCTTTACGGGACATAAGGTATGAAATCCATATGGAAATAATTTGATTTTGCCGCTAATCTAATTATATAAATAGATCCCATTCACTGCATATTCAGGTAGGTAGGTAGGTAGATTCATATCCAAATTGTAACTTTCAAATGCAAATTTTAGGGGAAACCCAATTACAGGTTTGCAAGCAAGACATAATTTACACTTGTAAGAATCCTTAATTTTACCCAGTAGGCCGTATCAAACATACTTTGTTAGAACTTTTCATTCAAAAATCAGTCAAACCGATCAGTTTTTTCCTCATAAAATAGGTTCATATATTCTACCAATCATGGTTTATGTACTTTTATTTTAAAACTAAAGTGGTTTGATTTGTACATCGTGCTAAGCCCAAACCAAGGCACTTTATGATCTATTGTGTGTATATATACCAAGCTAGCAAAACACTCTTCTGGCAAGTCAGAGAGCAAATACAATGAGAACTCCGCCTATTAGGGAAGTTCCTGGTGAAATGTTAAAGATTTCTAATAAGATAGACTGTGGCACTTTGCACTAATTGTGACCTTTTCTAAAATCGGAGACTTTAGCACTCATGCCTATTATTTTGAAGATGGACTACTACAATGCATCTATACTGGAGACTGGTCTTGATGACTACTTGCAAACTTTTAAGTAATGCAAAATATGGCAGCCATATGCTGGTGAGAGTGCCATAACAGCAGTAATATATCAGTTGTCAGTTTGTTTTCAGGAACATGGTAAAGTGCTACTTACAATGCCATGCAGATTTACATTGCTTATGATTAATCTTTCTAGAAGCCAGTCTCCTTCAGAGAGAATCTGCATGTCCATTCATGAAAGGAGGCTCCGAGGTCCCTCATAACAGAGATGTGTGAAAGCTCAGTTTTTACACTGACAAGCAAATAGTCTGATGCCAGACCAAATCAAGAGATGTGGGAAACTCTACATTCACCCCTAAGGGATGGTTTCTTTAGTGGGAGAGAAAATCACATAAATAGAGCTTGTATCTGAGTTATTACTGTTTATGATTTTAAAAAACTATAATCAAAACATCCTTCTGGCCATATTTAAGTTCATTATTTGGATTCTGGGCTGAAGTAGATAATGAAGTAGAAAATTAAGTATGCTTGACCCAGCTACATTTGGATTCTGCTGGAAATTGAAAAGTGTTATCAGATGGACAACTGCTGATAACTGATTTTGTTCCAACTGGAATTTTTCATCTACAAAGACTCATAACTGAATGGGAATGGATAGCAGATTTAAACACTAAGCATGTTTAATTGAACATTTATAAATTATTTTCAGCCTGTTTTATTTGTTTACCCCTTAGGGAACAGTTAATTCATTAGCATTTTCTCCTAATGGACGATTTTTGGCAACTGGAGCAACTGATGGAAGAGTGCTTCTGTGGGATATTGGTCATGGTTTAATGGTAGGAGAGCTAAAAGGACATTCAGACACAATTTATGCACTCAGGTTCAGTAGAGATGGAGAGATCTTAGCTTCAGGTATGATTTAAAAAAATATTATAAAACTAATGCTATCAACTACAACACTATATTTTGTGCACCATCTCATTTCTAAAGATGAAAAATAACTGCAGAAATAGTTGCATTAGTATTATAAATGGTCCCATCCATCCATGACATCCTGACAATAAATTTCTTAGATGGTTTGAGCCTTTGGAAATGAACATTTGTGCAATTTTGAAACCAGTTTAGCTAGCATTGTCTTTGTACAATTGGTTTCATATTTAGATTGAAGTTTAATAGAGCGGGACTTCTTGAAATAAAGTTGTGATCTGTAGTATATTCCTTTAAATTCAATTCAAACATTTTTCTGTCAACATTATTGGACAGATAAAAGTGTTTTACATGACAGTGTCATGTAGTTTTTTTAATACATTTTAAAAAATTGATGAGTATCTTCCAAATATCACAGCTCATATGAATTCTTTATAAATTTCTGGTATGTTGAGCATTTCGTTATTTTAGTTGAATATACAGTTTTAAGACCAGACTGTAGAAATCATAAAATACAATAAACAATGAAAAAGTGAGTAATGTAAATTGCATAAGCTCCATTTATATCAAACTACCAGTATATTTGGCAGGTAGAACAAATGTTAACTCAGAGCACTAAGTATGGGTCAAAAGAGGGCATAGGAAGATGAGTGAAACAGTTCTTGATAGCTTCATCCAAGCATGGTCAGAGATGCCTCAAATATCTGGCGTTACTGAAGCTCTCTTCCAATACCTTTGAGAATAAGGTGTTAAATCTTATGTGGCATGCTTTTGTGTGAGACAGATGAGGCTGGAAAAGTAATTAGGAATGCTAGTAATTAGGTATACTATAGAAGTCACTGTAGCATTATTTTGAAAGTTTGGATATGTTTATTCTTCAGATCCAAATGGAGGTCAACCTTCAACATAATGTTCCTGGTCCAAACAATAACAGGAATAGTCAATGCTCTTGTGTTCTGAATCAAGACATAATTTTGCTTTTACATTTACTGTGATATTTGTTTTTCCAGAAAATACTGTGTTTGACAAATTGACTACAATGTTTAGAGAATCCATGGATGCCATGAACTGATAATTGCAATGCCTATGTTTAACATTCTTCATGTATTTTTTTGAAGGTTCAATGGACAGTACAGTTAAACTTTGGGATGCTGTGAAAGCTTTTGAGGACTTGGAGACAGATGATTTTACAACAGCCACTGGACACATAAACCTTCCTGAAAGTTCACAGGACTTGCTTCTGGGCACATATATGACCAAATCAACTCCAGTTATACACCTCCACTTTACTCGAAGAAATTTACTTCTTGCTGCTGGGGCTTATAGTCCTCAGTAAAACACAAAAGTAAATGGCTTGATTATGCAAGTCTTGTAAAGTATGTTTAGATCTTCACATTCCTGAATATTACGATTAATATATTGTACAAATGAACTGAAATTCTATTGGTACAAGAGTACTAAGTAAAGCAGGACAGATAAAAAAACTTGCATTTCTGCTTTTCTCTAACCCCCACCCTCAAACAGGAACAGTTTTTTCTACTGAAATCATAAGGAAGGAATTGATGCCAGCTGCGAAGATAGTGTAAATAGACAGCTAGTTTGGGTGCCAGTCAATCCTTTTTCCCCTTTCTCAATGGTCCTTGGGACACCTTTCCCAGCATTAGCACTGCATATTTTTTTGTAAAACTTGTTCAAAAAAGTTGGGACAGTAGAATGTAATGAGCAGCATGCTGTATTTATGTAGCAAGAAAATCAGAATTATTTAAATTAAGTACCCCAGAGCTTTAAAAATCACATTGTATAATTACATATGTATTGGGAATTACTAAAATAAGTAGCATCTCAGATTGACTTTATAAATGTTACTTAAGACTTTTAAGAGGGAGACTGGCTTCTCTAAGAAATCAAAATATTGTACTACAGAAGTAAAAATTATTGTCACAGAAATATGGCTATTCAAATATGAATCAGAAAAAAATAGCTGGCTGTAAACTTCCATAATAAGTGTTGACTTATGAATTTTTTTTAAAAAAAGTGATTTTGTATTTTATATAGTTTTGTATCTTTATAATAAAAATTCTGTAAAAATACTTGCATTTGAGTGAGTTATCTTTACATGGTTTTTTAAGAAGCAACCTTTTATTAGCATACTTTTAATGCAATGAATCAGGTACTTCTCACGTATAATTAGGATCAGAATTTCTGTTGCTAAGCAATGTAGTCATAAAGCATGATGGCACATGGCTGCATCATTTAACAATAGCAATCCTGGCAAATGAAAATAACAGATCATTAAGTGAGAACATTATATGAGTGCGACTTGCAACTTGCCAGCTTCCCATAAGCAAAATCAATAGGAAAGTTGTGTGGAATTTGTTTGTCCTGGGTGAATTGCAAACTAGTGGACAAGTACTAAAGGGTGAGAGGGAAGTGCTGAGGTGAATTATCCAGGATGCTGCTGTGGTGTAACTGCAGGATGGCATGTGTTATGATGCAAGTGTGCATTGTAGTATATAGAAACTCTGGTATCTCATTCTGTAGCAGGGCTCCTTGAGAGAAAGATGGTGGAGCACTTTTAAGCGACTTTCAACCTTCCCTGTTGGCTTCCCCATTGACATATGACCATATGATTGTTATATGATCACGGTGGTGCAGTGACTACAACTTTTGAGAACCAGTGTTAAGTACTTTTCAGCATGACAATTTTGGTTGCTGAACGAGTAGTCATTAACGGAAGATTACCTGTACATAATTACAATTTCAAAGAAGTTATGATACAGCAAATAGTGAAAAAATTCTCAGATAATGTAATTTGTGGGGAAAAAATTGCTAACATTTCTGGGATTGTATGATGCCGGCACTTAGCACAGGATTGAAACAAAAATGTGTTTCACATCTGCAAGAAAATCATCAAGCTCAGAAAGAACCAAAGACCCAGCAGGTCAACCCTGAGCTACAAATATTCTCTTCTATTACTAGAGATTTGTTTTAGGGAAGCTTTATGCTTTTAAAGAATTTTGCTGTGACTGGTTAACCTTTTCTCCTAGAACCACCAGGAAAGCAGTGTCAACTATATCCCTGCATCTAAGTCCCAGATGGTTAGAATAATTAAAAAAAGTATTTATGTAGAACATCAGAGAACAATTAGAATTAGGTGTGATTCACATATAACACTGGACTATGATTTAGGAGAGGGAGTGGGCAGTGGGCATAAATTTTCAAGACTTTAAATTTTTCAACATTTTTAAAAATTATAAAACTGAATTGTGATTGATGGCACCCAATAAGAGCAAACATGTTCTTTATGGATTTGGGCTAGTACTTGTATGCAATATACTTTCAAAGTGCTGATTGCAGGAATAAGGTAGGAATACACACCTCCCTTTGTATTCTAACCCCCCCCCCCTCATTTTTTTTATCTAATGGATTCTCCATGTAGTTTTACTGATAACAATATAAACATGGTTTACTATTTCCATCTTCCAGGATGTTCTTTAATTGCCAAGTCTACGGTTCTGGCCTTTCCAAATGGTTTCTTATACATGTACAGCCAGGCTGATGTAGGCATGAAGATGCTGGCCTAGAAACCAGAAAAGTGATTTTTAGGCCTCCTTTAGGCTTGAAAGATGGCTTGGTGATGATTTTGGGCAAGTTTTTCAATCCAACTCACTTCTTCGCAGGATTGTTGGGGAAGTAGTATTGGCATTCTTGCTGCCTTGACAGATGGATGGATGGGTAAGATAAAAATATAGTAGTACTTACCAAGTCTGAACCTGCTTAGATTTTTAGGACAGCCAAGGTTGGTTAATTATGCTGTCTACTATAGGGATTTACAGACTTGATTATTTGGGACAGACACTGGGTATCACTTTTTAAATACAAACCTGTTTGGCCATTTATTAAAAGTTAACACCTAAAATTACATAGCATGGTTGGTCAGTGTACAAATCCAGTACTATAAATCCAATTTTATTAATATAGGAAATAATTACAGGATATTATTTTAACATTTGCCTAGTTTTTGATATCTCCCTTTACTTGTAGAAAAGTCACACAGGATATGGTAGATGGAGAACGACATAGGGAATATGCATTAATGTGTACAGATGCACATAAAACTTTATAGGCCACTATTTTAACATTTTAAATCATAAAAGCCAATAATCTACATTTAACGAATTGTTTTTCTCATTATAAACTTGTCCATACATTAAGTTCTTCAGAATAAAATCTTAAGATTTTTTTTTAATGGGCATTTGTGAACTGTTCTAAAGAATTATTTGTTGTTTTTTTTAAAGATTGTGCCATGTTAGCTTACTTTCCATATATTTTATAGTGCCTACCTTGACTATTCTGTTTGTTTAGAAAGGCAGAATAGTGAAAATACTTTTCAGTGAAATAAATCAGTGCTCAAAACTGTTAAGGCAGCGATATGATGTTGCTTTCATGTTAAAGAGTCACCTTTTATTTTGGAGCAGATGGTTTATTGCAATGCTTTAAAATTACTCTTGTTTATGGGCAATATAGCTTCAGAGGGCTTCTTTAATTAATAATATATACACCAGAATTTTGGACAGTTTTCACTCATGGATTGATACGAAAGGCAAATATAGTCATTTTTCATGATTTACTGAACTGCATCTGCTTCTGCAACTCACAGACAGCAATACAACAAGGAAGGTCCAACAATAAGAACCTGTCCAAGAAAAAAAAAAAAACTTTAGTCAACACATAATCTACCATAACTTTTATTTAAGACTCAATTCTTCTCTATGAAATGAGGAAATGGGTGTACAGGTAGTCTTTGCTTACCAATGTCCTTTGTTTAACCACCATTCAAAGAAAACCTCACATTTAAGACATTTGCAAGATCCCATAGATCATGGGATTACCATTGCAACAAGCAAGTTAATAAAGAATGTGGAAATAAAACTGTAACTTGTGACCATATAATGTTTTGCTTAGCAACTGTGGGGCTCCACTTAACCAAATGGGAAGGCTGTAAGCCCATTGAAGCAATTTGATCTTCTGCTTAGTGACCATAGTGCTTAGTGTGCAAATTGCAATCCCAACTATAATTGCTAAACAAGGGCTATCTGTAGACATTACATAGAAATAAAAATAGGGTCACTAACGGATATCAGAAGTGACAGAAAAGTTCATTAAGTAAGGAATTACAGAATTGACAGTATGGAATTATATATTATTAGACTGAAAATAAAATAGGGTAAGCTTCAGTACACTCACTAAAAATAGCTAAAACAGGTAGACCTTGCTTAGTATCTGCATCAGTCAGTGATCATCTTACGTTATGACAGTGAGGACAAATAAAGTTTATGATCAAAGCCCACTTTTATGATCTCAATGTCCCTTTGTCATGTGTTTGCTGATTAGTAAATGTTGCCCTATGCTTGACCCATTTTCCTTCTTTTCCTCCTCTCCTCAGAGAGGATAGGCTAAACAAGTGAACTGTTTTGAGCTGCTTTTCTCCAACCAAGTGCTAAATAATTAAAAAGGGCTAACCAGAAGTTAACTGTCTGTAACTGACTAGACCTGAATCAATTTCACACCTTTGGGTTTTGTTTGCAGCGAAGGAGCTTGTTAGGCAAACAGCTGGTGCCAGCTCATTACTTTCAATATGTATTCCCCATTGTGGCCTGCTTATTCTCTTGAAATTCCTTCATCTCCAATAAATATAAATGCAAACATTAATTCCCTTGCTAATTATCCCAATGATAATTCTAAAATGAGCATTCTAAAAGGCAGAGAAATAAGGGGGGGGGGGAATTGCAAGATTTGCTATTTTACTCTCCATGCCTGTGAGGCAAATTCTGGAAACCTTTTGGACTCACTCAATTATTTTGGGTCAAATCCTTTTGAGACTGTAAAGCAAAGCAAAGCTAAAGTAACACTGTAAGCTAATTGTGGTCATATGATTTTTATGTTGTGACTGCATCACTTAGCAACCAAGTTGCCACTTCCAACTGTGGTTACTAAATGAGAACTTCCTGCAATTAAACCCTTTTCTTAAGCAAGCTGCATAAAATCTCTGTAACGAGAAAATTAGGAAAATAGCTATATTAGAGATTATTTTAGATTTTAAGTTCCAGTGTTACTAGATGGAGGTTATTGTTTATTCACCAAATTATGACACTTACTTATTTGTGTGAAATTTCCTTAGGTTTCTTCATTTTATATCCAAGGAAGAGCACTAGAAGACTTCCGTATGTAAGTATCACATACTAAAGACAGAATGCATACAGGTCAGATCAACCAAAATTTCAAATGGAGAATGCATGCAGGTCAGATGAACCAAAATTTCAATTGGATACTGTAAAATTATAATGGCAGATACTTACATTTCTTCTGCCTATTATTGTGTAGCTATTGAAGTATTTCTTTAATCCTGTAAATTGGTGTTGTGATCCAGAATCTGGTCCTGCCATTATTGCTTGAACTAGATGCAATAGAAATTAATTTTAATTTAAAAACAATTTTGTTTCTTATATTTATTTGATGAATTTCTAATGCATAACAAAATTACTGGTAACTAGTAAACAAAAAACAATATGCTAACAGTTACAAAGCAGCTATACTTGCTTTCTTGTAGTTTTGTCTCAAGTAAGTAGTCTGACAGAAGATCACATGGATATGTAGCCCAGGACTGAAGCAGGTATACAAATAAATGAACTGCTTTAAATATTACTTATTCTAGGAGAAATACCAGTTATGGACAGGTTGCATTCTCTCCCAAAGATCAGAGGTTTGCAGGTTGGGATCCTCCTGGATCCAACACTGGTGTAGAATAGTAATGACACCAGTAGTAAAGAGAGCCTTTTATCACCTTTAGCTGATAAACCAACGGCTTTCATACCAGGAGAGAGACTTAGCTTCAGTATCTGATATTGCGGTGAATTTCAAAAGGGATTACTGCGGTGTGTCCCTTAGTTTTTCAAGCTAGTTTGAAAATTGCAGCAAGCATAGAATGCAATGGGATGTAAAATGATCAACTCTTGAAGATAGTACATAATCCTCTACCATGTATGAAAAAGCTTACTGGTTATTGTGTCCAACTCAAGGTTTATATGCTGTATATGTCCCAACTCCCAGTAATACTCACATGGTATATAAAGGCTTATTTAGCTTAGGGCCAAGATACTTACATGACCATCCCATATAATCTGCCTTCCACTCCTAAACCATCAATGGGACATCTTTTAGAAGATCTGTTGCTGATAATTCTGCTTTGGCAAAGCTCATAGTTGAGGAACAAAGTGCTATTTGAGTTGAAACAATCCCAATTCTTATTACAATTTAGGGGGAGTTAAAAACACACAGTAAGCCAGGGCCTCAATATTTTAATTTAATACATTATTTTAATTATATTTTTCATTTTAACTTTGGTATTTGTAGAGTAGATTTTCTAGTTAGGCAGCTTTATAAAAGATCCAAATAGTCATGAACCAAATAGTCCAACTGCTCAGATTTGATGAAACAACCACATTTTATTAGTTTTCTAGAAGCCAGGTGGGAAGGGGTCAATCACACACAGGGCAATGCTATTCCCATGAGTGAGGCAGCACTGAGAAAATATGCTGAAGAGTCCCTAAAGTAATAAATGTTATTAAGACACATAAATGACTTGCCCTATTGAATCCCATCAAGTGGATAGATATTATTGGGAGAAGGCTGCCCCACAGGTACAGGGCCCAAAACATTGAAAACTTTAAAGGTGACAACAAACTAACCCTCAGTCTCAGTGAGCCAGAGTGGCTTTGAATTGTACCCAGAAACCAATAGGTAGCCAATGTGGCTGTTAGAAGTGTTACATGTGTGTCTAGAGTTGCCAATCACTACCCAATCATCGCAGGCCCCAAATTTCATACCGAGCTCATTCCAATAGTCCAGTTGAGTAGTTATTAAGGCATAAGTAACAGTAATGCCTTTCACTCCAAGAAAAAGTGCAACTGAAATACAAAATGAAACTACAAAGACCCTCTTGGTCACAGATACTACCTGCTCTTTGTGCAGGAACTATGAATTCAAGGAGAAGTCTGAATTGTAAACCAGTTCCACCTGCTTAGATTTAACAATGGAATTTCATTGAAATTGACAGATCTTGGAACCCAATGGTACTCTGTCTTGCTAGGATCTGTTCTTCCCCATCCAGTCTTGGCGAGTCTCCTGGCAACAGCATCATTGACAGCATCATTTATTTAACCATAGTTGAGAATTACATCATCAATTACCTGATGAAGGATGCCAACCAGCTGTTTCACCTAAATGTTGAATAGGATTGGGGAGAAAATAGAGCCCTACAGCATTCCCCTATTATCAATTAAGGCTTTAGAGTTGATCACTCCCCCACCTCCTCCAACTCTTAAAGGTGAAAGAATACTATGATGGATGGTATTGAAAACAACTGTGAGATCAAACAAAGCCAGGGAGACTAGAATCTATACATAATGCAATGAATGCTCTCTCTTAAACTAAATGTTGACTTAAAATAGGGGTGTCAAACTGGCGGCCTGTGGACTAGATGCGTCACATGCAGGCCACAACCACCCCAGCTCCAAAAAGGTAAAAAAAAATACTATGATACATCACATGACACTATTGTTCGACATCCATGACCTAATATCTGACTGAAATGTGTCGAGATGTTTCCTCCAGGCACCTCTACAGTTGAAGTTCAACTACTTTCTCTCTAGGAGAGAATGATTTGTTCCTCCCACTGGAAGCCTTTATCAAGTTGTTAGTGCTAGACAAGACAGTGTACAAATTTTAACTTCTTTGGTGTTTGTTTCCACAATGGACCAATCTGTTTCTCAGTACCCTCAAAAGCAACCTATGACAATCAAGATACCTAGCCTAGCTTAATCTTCTCCTAATGCTAAGCTAACCACACTTCCAGACATCCAGTTAAAAAAAAAAAGTTGCATGCAACACTAGGAGAGGGCGCTACAATGCACAATAGGTAACGAGAGTATTCTGCTAGGGCTGGGATGTAGTATAGTGTTGTTTTTGGCATAGGTAGAAGGATATTGTAGGCATTCTTAGAGCACCAAATTTTTCACCCAGAAACAGAGAAAGCAACATCCTATTAACCGTTTAAGGATCAATTTACATAATCAATTATGAACTTTTAAGTGCTTGACATTTCCCCAGATAAGGGGCAAAAACGTCATAGTATTCAACACATCTGTACCTGATTACAGTGAATAGAAAAGTGTGGAGGTATATTCCATCCGTTTAGGATTTGAAATGGGATACAGGACTGGGGAGTATAAATCAATCAATCCAGTACAATATTTAAAACAAAGTACTCCATTATATGAAAACCACTTACAAAGTATTTTACTTTTCTATCTAGACGAGCACAGGTAGATTCCTTTTCCACCTGAATTTATATCCACTTAAGAACATAACATCTGAAATATGAAAGAGACGGTTCACCTCCTATAGACAGGTAGCACTGCTCAAACATAAATTTAATTTAACTACCCAAGAACAAAAAAATTACTATAAAATTCCAGGATGCCGGTTGAGGGAAATAAGGTAGCTCTGCATACCCTAGTACATAGTCCTATTTATCAGGCAGCAAATGATCCTACTAATCATTTTTTGTCCTTCAGGTGCTTTTCAAAAGTGTTGGCAACTGTCACGTTGTCCAACATTGTAATTACAATAGCTGTGATTCAGAACAAATGGAAGACTCTGGTTGAGAAGGATGCTATAAAAATAACGTTTGTAAAAGCAGGCATAATCTTTCAAATAAGTACAGAACAAAATTGGTATTCAACCCCTAGTTATTTATATATTGCAATAGACAAAGTTTAATTTACTTCAAAGCATGCTGACTGAGAAATATTATTCACAAATACCAATAACGACAAGGCGGCACCCACCGCGTTTTCTATCCGCTACCTCCTCCTCCTCTAAGGTATGAACGACTCAATGCCCTTCATGTACAAAATGGAGTCATTCAATTGATCAACCAATTCCCTAACCAATCTTCGATGCGCTGAGGAGGGACTTTATTTAACCAAACCGGAACTGTGGCCAAGACCGGTTTTTATAATTGGCCAAAGAATATGCTCGTCAAATTACTAGCGCCTATCTTCTGTGACGGAAATCAGTGCCGTGGCTCTATGGTTACTTAGTAATCGGCTTAACTTCCTTTTACCTTTTTTGTTTCCGGCATCGTTTTCCCTTCCGGATCAAGGAGCAAATAGTGTCCCTTCTTCAAGCGTGAGATTGATACCTTAAAAGTAAGTCTGAGGAATGTAAGATGGGTTCTTTGGAAGAAGGCGAGTGGTGGGGAGAAGGAATGGAGCAGGACGTAAAGAGGGAAGGCTTACTTTCCGAACTGGGAATGGAGGAAGAAAGCAGCGAGAGTTCCACGTGTTGAACTTGTGTGGACCTCAAGCGTTGCGGAGTGGACTTATGGTCTCCGCTGAAATAATCGCTTACCAGGTTTTTTTGGGGCGGGGGGGGGTGTATCCGCAAAGTGCCTTCTATATACATCATTGGAAGAATATAATTTTATAAAATTCTGTGAAGAACGAAAAAAATCTTCAGTAATTTAAGATAAAGCGATGGTCCCCTTTTCCACTTTTAGTTCTGGTTATTGTGAAGATATCCTTACTGGTACAGTTAGTTCTCGACTTACAACAATCCATTTAGTGACTGTTCAAAGTTACAACGGCACTGAAAAAAAGTGACCGACGACCCTTTTCACACTTATGACCATTGCAGCATCCCCATAGTCAAGGGATCAAAAATTCAGACACTTGGCAACTGACTCATGTATGACGGTTGCAGTGTCCCAGAGTCGCATGATCATCTCCCCCCCCCCCCGCAAGTTTTATTTATTTTATTTATATTACATTCAATACAACTTTCATTAAATAGTGGGTGGTCTGGGTTACAATCACATTTAAACAGTCATATACATCTTTGTTTTAGTATTCATCTCATAATAATAACAACATAGTGATATAGCAACAGTAATACTTAACATCATCTTCTTTAACCACTCTCCTCTTTAATACATCATCTTTTAATATCTCTTCCCTTCTAACGTCTGTCTCTATTATCTAGCTGTTAATACATTAAAAAATTAAGTACATCCCATGTCCAAAAAACAAACAAAAAAGAAATATATAGATATAGATATAGATATAGATATAGATATAGATATCTATATATCTATAATTATCTATATACACATACATACATACACATACACATACACACACACATATATATATAAATATATATAAAATATATTTTAAAAAAATAAAGAGAAAAAATAAAGAAAGGGAGGGGAGGTAGGAAAGAATCACTCCAGGTAACAGCAAAAATAAAAATAAAAATCCCTTCATCATCTCATTGCCAGCTTCAGTTATAGTTGCTATGCCTCGCATGATCATCTTTTGAGACCTTCTGACAAGCAAAAGTCAATGGGGGAGCCAGATTCATCTGACAGCTGTTTATTTACCACTGCGATGATTCACTTGCAAAACTCACTTAGCAAAATGTCTCCCTTAGCAAAATAAATTTGGGGCTAAGTTGAGGACTACCTGTATCTCACTGTTTACTGCAGCCATTCATTGTGGCTCCTGTTTGCCTTCCAATTTCACCCTTTTACTTTGGTAACTGCATCAACAAATCTTATGCACAAAAGAAACTGCCTTCAACATCACCATGGCTGCAGTACTAGTTTCAAATGCTTGCACATCTTTTTAAAATTCCAGCCCTTTTCAATTGTGAGAACGGTAAAATTCAATTTATAAGTTTTTTTTCTTGGAAAACCAATTGTGTATTGGTTTCATCTTATTATGCAACCATTAATGACTTGGAGATTTAGCTAAGCACAGAAGTTTTCTAATTGTATAGGAATCAATAATATTAATAAAGAGATGAGTAGGAGCCCAGAATCTGAACCTTACAAAAAAAATTGGGCCTCTTAAAATCCTGCAACCCTGTGCAGAAGAGTGACTTTATAAGGTTGAATTGTATTCTGCCCAACAATTTATTCTGTTTCAGACTTTATTTGGTGTTCTCCTTCTGTGATGATAATAACTAATGGATAATGTATGTAGCCAATAGATAGTATTAACTAATAGCTAGCAGGTAATACATGAATAATAGTGTTCTGTGCATCTTCGGTGTTTAGTCATGCCGGCCATATGACCACAGAGACGTCTTCAGACAGCGCTGGCTCTTCGACTTTGAAACGGAGATGAGCACCACCCTCTAGAGTCGGGAACGACTAGCACATATGTCTGAGGGGAACCTTTACCTTAATACATGAATAAGACTAAGCGTGTACTTGAAAGACCATTCCAAACAGTGAACCAATCATATATTTTTATAGAAATGCATAAAAGCATTTTGCAGAATGTTTGTTTTAGATGCCAAGTGCTTTAGACATTGTGTTTGCTCAATGTTTTCTGTAATATGCTGAAAACAGGATCCCAGGTTTTTTACTTATTTTTTAAAATCATGGAGACAATGCTTAGTGGGGTTTGCTTTGGGTTGAAAAAGATCTGTACAAGAAAATAATAACAATGTTACTTAATGCTCAGAAATATAGTAACAAACCAAAGTAAATGTTAATTTTAGAATAACAGTTTTTATTGCAGTTTTATGCTGATAGTGAAATATAAAAATAGCTAATTAAATGTTTGAGAGGCAAACAGGTTAAAATAATTTCTTTGAAGCAGACATATAGCAAAGATATAACTTACTTTCCTTCTCTGTTACAAATTCATATTTATTTTTATTGGACTATTATTTCTATAGATAATAGTAATAGGGACACTGTGATGCTGTGCCAGCAATTTCAGGATCTAGATTAACTCTTCAGAATTTCCAGGATATTGTTTTTAAGAAAGTTATTAAGAAAATGAGCTTTTAAGAAAGCTCATTTTAACTACTTTTGCAAAATGAATTCAATCATTGACTATAAATAGTTATTCAGTTGAAACTATTTCCATACCAAATTGAAAAGCTTTAGTTTAATAAATCATAGAAAAATCATCTGTTAATCTTGACAACTAAGCATTGTGAAACTATAGCTCACTGAAAAAAGAACTTAAAATAGTCAACCTCTGCTAAAACAGTTCAATTTTAGAATATTTGTATGATGCAGTTAATTAAAATGTCTATGATACCTCTGGCCCAGGACTTAGTTATTGATAAAGAATGAATCTTGATTATCAGTGTCCCAGAATTCATTGGCCTTCTCTTATCTCATGTCTTTTGGTTGTTCTGAACTTCCCATCATTACCCACTTAACTTACCCAGAAGATGACATGGGTATCATATATATATTTGGATGGTTCCAATTTTTGACACTGTTAGAATGGCTAAAGAGCTAATAATTTAATAAAATGAGTCAAATATTATATATTCTTATGATTTAATGTCTGTCATCTCATTCCTAAAATGAAATAATACTTACGTTGTATGATTTTATCCTGATGATTTATAAACTCTAATAGTTTAGTTTCCTTTCATAAAGAAAGACAACCATGTCATCTGTGGAGGAGAATTTTCCAAGAGGTGGTACACAGAAGAAAGGAAAGGAAGAAAAAACAGTCAGACAACCAACGGTAGATGACAATTTATTCAAGGTATGCAAATTAGGAACATTTAACTTCTGTTGTCTCAGACTGTTGATTCCTCCCAACTACAGTAGTTTTGTGACTGATATCAATTGCCTTATTCCTTGACTTTCTTAGAATCACAGGGCTGGATGGGATTTTGGAGGTCCAGTCCAATCCCCTGCCTCCTTATATCATACCAGACAAATGGTTGCCCAATCTTTTCTTGAAAACCTCCAATGATGAGTACCCGCAACTCCATCAAGCAAGCTTTTCCATTGATTCATTGTTGTCACTTTTAGGAAATTTTTCTTTATTTCGAGATTGAATCCCCTTCTAGTAAATTTCCACCCATTGCTTCTTGTCCTGCCCTCAGGTGTTATGAAGATTAAATGGATGCCCTCTTCCCTGTTATAGATTGCTGTCATGTCTCCCCTGAGCCTTCTCTTAAGCTAAAACAGGGGGTCCCAACCTTTTCTATACCTTGTACCACTAGAATGCTTCTGATATATTCTCTCACCCTTAAAAAAATAAACAATGTGCCTATAATTATACGTATACATTATAATCTTGGTTTGATTTATTGGATTTATTGGATTTGGATTATAATCTTGAAACTTCTAAACCGAAGTTTTAGTACCACTTTGAATATCGTCTCGCACCCTCAGTTGGGAACCCCTGGGGTAAAGCATACCTTGTTCCTTTAACATTCATCATACCCCTTATCATTTTTGTTGCTGTTCTCTGCACTCTTTCTAGGGCCTCAGCATCTTTTTTTTAAATCTTGGTTACTAGAACTGGATGAAGTATTCCAAATCACTAGTATAATATAGAACAATAGTATCATTTCCTCTGATCTTGATGCTATCCTCTGTTGATGCAGCCTTGGACTGTGTTGGCTTGGTAGCTGCAGCACACACTTAAACGGTTTGTGTGTTTTAATGGGACGGGATATAACATTTTATATAAATAACTTTTAATCCAAGGAGATTACTATGTTTTTAACCATATATCATTTGTATTCATTCCTGGATGATTCCTGTAATAACTGCCAATTAATAAAATCTTGTATTAGAAACTTTTATGTTTGCGCTGTATAAAAGTTCAGTTTGAGCATGTTTATGGAGCAAGTTTAATTCAGTTTGGCCCATTCAGCTTGTTCCAGTCTTACATTGAATCATTCACCTTACCTCTTCTGCCTTGTATAAGAGGAGGCAGCCAGAAGCATATACCTCCTAGTTAAGTTAACTGTTGTGTATAGATCAGGTAAAATTAGTTGATTTAAGCTATGCCTTACTAAAATGAACCAAGATCATTTCTGATCTGGGGTGCATTGGATAGTTCAGGGACAGTGTGTGTATGTTACAGTCTCTTTAATTAAGCA